CATGGCAAACTGATGTCTCAAAAGTCAATTCACGTACGCCCATGTCTTAAGTTTGGAAAAAGGTTCAGAAAATTAAATCAAATCCAGCATCCGCCATCTCCAAAATGGGGATGTACTACAAACTGAAAAAGCTGATATTGCAAACAAACTCGTTGAAACTTTGGCTTAACATTCTTCCTCAACTAACTATAACCCTAAATTCCAAAACTATCAAAAACAGCAAGAAAAGAAAACTATTAATTTAAAATCAGATAACGGGGAAGATTATAATAAACTTTTCTCTATTATTGAACTCCATACAGCCCTTGAAGAAGCTGCTACAGGAGCTGATAACATTCATTATCAACGTTAACTCCTGAAACACTTACCAGAATCATCTTTAGGAACGTTATTGACTATTTGTGATCAAATTTGGACGTCTGCGTTTGCAAAACCATGGAACGCATGATAAATAATCGACTTGTTTGATACTTAGAAACCAACAATCTCATTAATAACATACAATGTGGCTTCCGGAAAAACAGAAGTACCATAGATCATGTGGTTCTCTTAGAATCATTTGTTAAAAATGCAATAATAAATAAACAGCATGCAGTGTCTATCTTTTTCGATCTCGAAAAAGCATATGACACTACATTGAAACAAGGTATTTTAAAAGATTTACATGATTTTGGATTGTGTGGCCGTTTGCCTCAATTCATATCCAACTTTTTAACTGACAGGCAATTTCAAGTCCGCGTGGGTTTTACCCTGTCTGATCATTATAATCAGTTTCAGGGTGTCCCACAAGGCGGTATCTTGTCTGTCACTTTGTTTAGTATTAAGATAAACAGTTTATCTAAAGTTTTAAATGATTCTATTAATGGATCGCTGTTTGTGGATGAATTTAACATTTCTTGTCGTGGCAAAAGCATGGATACTATTGAAGGGCAACTGCAGCTTTCTTTAAATAAAATTCATCAATGGATTTAAGTTCTCAAAATCTAAAACAAACTGCATTCATTTTTGTAGAAAATATAAACCTCACAAAGACCGAGAACTAATATTAGATAAAACTCCTATTAAAGTTGTACAAGAAGCCAAACTTGTAGGCATAATATTTGATCATCATTTGACCTTTCTGCCCAACATTAAATACTAAAAGAATAAATGTCTGAAGGCCCTAGATTTGTTAAAAGTTGTCTCTAATTCTAAGTGGGGAGGGGATCAGAAAACCCTCCTCCAACTATACAGCGTTCTAAACTTGATTACGTCTCCGTCATCTATGGTAGGGCTTGTAGAAGCAATTCAAAATTATTAGATACCATTCATCACCAAGGCCTGAGGCTTTGTCTTGGAGCCTTCCGAACTTCACCTATTCACAGTTTATATATTGAGGCTGATGAGCCATCCCTTCAACAACGTCGCATCAAATTATCTTTGCAGTACATCTCTAAATTACGTTCTACTAAATCCAAACCAGCATATGACTGTGTTTTTAATCCTCTTTACAAAAATCTCTATAATAAAAGGGCATCTCTTATTCCGCCACTTGGAATAAGAATACAATCAGATGTTTCTGCTGCTCAAATCAACCTTGAAAACATAGCCCCCACTCAGCTTTTCACTTATCCACCTTGGCAGTTAGTGAAGCCAGAGGTGGACCAACCTAACATTAACTAAACTCAAGAAATCCGACACAAATCAACTAATTTATCAACAGGATTAAAATGAATTATGAAGCACGTATGACAGTTACAGATCTATATTTACAGATGGATCCAAGGATGGTGTTGCTGTTGCCAGCGCAACCATCATTGGACCCAGGGCTATCTCTTCCCGGTTACCAGATCACTGTTCTATTTTCATAGCAGAAGCAAATGCTATTTTAACAGCACTAAAATATATCGACAACCAATCTAAACATAAAGAGTTCATCATTTTTTTAAACTCTCTTTCTTGCCTTCAGGCTATTAAAGACATGTCTTCCACACATCCACTTTTAATAGAAATTATTGAATTGTTTTCTGTTGGTTAGCCAGCCATGTTGGTATCACTGGGAACACAATGGCCGATGCTGCTGCAAAAGTAGCACTCAACAAATCTGTGACACCACTTCTTATCCCATACAGCGATATCAAACCTGTAATTAGATGTTACATCCGAGATCTGATGCAAAAGAAGTGGGACACCGAAGTAGGTATAAATAAATGACATGAGATAAAACCAGCTATTGGCTTCACCTAGTTGGGTTGTTAGTCCAGATTTGAAGAGGTCATAATACGACGATGTCGTATTGGCCATATCAGATAAACAAATGAATATATATTGAGAGGTGAGGATCCTCCATTCTGTATCCCTTGTGATGAAAGAATCACGGTCAAGCGTGTCCTGCTTGACTGTATTGATTTTTCCATCACAAGGGATCAATATTTCAAAGTTTCATCGTTAAAGGATGTTTTTAACAATAATAGCTCTTATTCAATACTTAGTTTTTTAAAAGAAATAGAACTGTTCAATAAATTTTGATTCATGTTTTGTGTTTTGTTACTAATAAACGATCTTTTAATACTGGTAGAATAAATTGAATAACTAAGATTGTTAGTGGCTGTACCTCGAAGGGGGTTGAAGTAGCACAAATGTATTGTCCCCCGGAGATGGTACATAAGTCCATTCACAGTTTATTCATTACTGCCACGGTTTTAATCACAGAATATGTGTTCTTTTAAATTGGCTAAATTGACAATAATCGCCAACTCCTGAAGGGATTATGTAAATCCTGCTGGGGTTCATGCAGGAAGCTAAAATACTGTAAGTCCCCATGGTCCCTAGTATGGTGGTCTACCTTGAGTTGCTGGCGATCTATAGCTGTTTTTATAAGGTGTTGTTCTGTCTAGTGATGTATTTTTATGGTTCCATGCTAGTTTTAAATCATAATCTGTGATAAGTCTAGTTATTTTACTGTCCGTTGTTGACAGGTTTTTATAGTTTACATGTATTCATTATATATAACCTTTGAAAGTCACGATATGGCTGATATATTGCCGATGTGACTTTAAATTTTAACTCACTCACTCACTTTATTGTCACAGCAGAAGCAAATGCTATTTTAACAGCACTAAAATATATCGACAACCAAACGAAACATAAAGATTAATGATCTTGCTACTGGCCGATATGACATCGTTGTTTGTTGGTTACCAAGCCATGTTGGTATCATTGGTAACACAATGGCCGATGCTACTGCAAGAGCAGTACTCAACAAATCTGTGCCACCACTTCTTATACCAATACAGTGATTATAAATCTGTTATTAGATCTTACATCCGTGTTCTGATGCAAACGAAGTGGGACACCCAAATAGGTATAAATAAATTACATTAAATTAAACCAAATATCGGTTACACCTACTTGGGTAGTCAATCCAGATTTGAAGAGGTCCTTATGCTACAATGTCGTATTGGCCACAGCAGATACACAAATGAGTTCTTATTAAAAGGTGAAGATCCTCCGTTTTGTATTCCTTGTGATGAAAGAATCACGTTCAAGCATGTCCTGCTTGACTGTATTGTTTTTTCCATCACAAGGGATAAATATATCAGTGTTAAAACAGTTAAGGACCTGTTTAATGATGTTAATTCTCATTTAATATTATGCGTTTTAAAAGAAATTGAACTTGTCCATAAATTTTGATGTACTTAATGTATTATTTTATTAATTGGTAGTGCTAATTTATAACTTAGGTTGTGAGTGGGGTTAAAGCAGCGTAAAATTATTGTCCCCCTAAGAGGGTATGTAAGTCCCAAATCATTCGAAGTATTTTTATGCATGCCAGACTTTTAAACGTAGCATTTTCGTCATTTTAATCTTAGGCTTAACTGGTAAACTATCGCCAGTGACTGTAGGGTGATATACATCCTACCGGGGTCCATGCAGGAAGCAAAGGTACCTTAAGTCCCCATGGTCCCTATTATGGTGATCACCCTTCAGTGACTGACGATCTCAATCCCATTTTTATTTTGTGTTGTAAACTGATACTTTCTGTTTTTAAATATTCTCAACTAGTTCTAAATCAAATCTGTGATATCCTAGATATCATACTGTCCATCGTTGACAGGTTTTTATTTAGTCTAAATATATGTATTATTAATATACTTCTCGTGACGATATGGCTGAAATACTACCGATGTTACGTCAAATCTTAACTCACTCACTCACTCTCACAACTCTACTTGCAAAGGCTGCTGTGCGACAATGTGGGCTCGAAGAGCTTCTTCGTCCTCTAAACCCGCCAGACCTTGCATCAAGTAATTTTCACCTGTTTCCTTAACTACAACAACATCTTCGTGGAAAGCGCTATGACGACAACAATGACCTCAAAGCTGCCGTGAATGGGTTTTTCTGGTTGGCTTCAGAAAACTTTTTCCTGACAGGAATTTAATAGCTTCACTATCGATACAGTGTATTGAAAAGCAGGAAGATTATGTTGAAAAATCAAATCAAAAATACTTTCACAATATTTGGTTTTGTTTGTTAGGCTTAGAACCTTTTGACGAGCCTCCGTATGCACTTTGTTTCCTAGAGAAACTAGTTGAATTCACACAATGTTGTGTCACTGTTGCCCGGTCAACTGACACACGCCGTCATGTCATACCCAAAGTTCGAGCCCCATTGCGGCATATGTTTCCAAACAAGGTATTGACGAGTGATAGATAACATCCAATGTGAAACTCGAAATGGTACATTTTAGATTTTGTTATAAAGTTCATAAATATTCCAGTACGAGATGGAGTTCGACGCAGTTTTGTCACTTCTTGGTATAGAGGATCTACCTCATCAAAGTTTGAGAGCTTAAGAGCTTAAGTTAATTAAACAGTTCCAAGAAGTAATAAAAACATGTCAGGTCAATGAATAAAAGAATAATATAAGGACATCACTTTGACTAAGAATATAGACACTCATCCATTTGATGTATAAAAATACGTCAGCAGATTCAAATCTAACATAAACATGCAACATACAGTGATCCCTGTGGTAGACTGTAACATGATGTATCCTGTACTGCCGTCCCAGGTCCACCCTCCACATACTCGGGTAGTTGACAGAGTGGAAGCAGGAGCCGCCATACACGTCCTGGCTCCTGTTCCCGTCCACAGCCTTGTCTGAAGTCCAGTTGTAACCATCAAGTGTTCCAGATGTAGAGGTGGCTGTCTTGTTGAAGGCCACGTTCTCTGTAGGAAGGACATGTTGATATATGTTACTCAAACTCAATCGAGCACGTGAATTTAAGAAGCGCTGGTAGATTAGATACAGTCCTGTCAACATTGTGTCAAAGACTCATGTCAGTTCATTGTTTCCGTTTTCATATAATATTTCAAGAAAATATGTGTCAAATTGAAATATATATCAAATGCAATAGCAACAAAGTCATACTTGTGTTAAATTCTACTTACTTGTATATTAGTCTTAATACGTGATACTTTGAGTTGTCTATAGTTGATGCCCTTAGCTTGCATATAATTTAGTTGGGTATTGTATTATCGCTGTTACGGTGGAACTTGATATGATAGCAAACCTACTTGTGAACAAGGGCGATGGTGTAGTCTAGTGACTAAAGCTTTTGCTCGTCACGCCGGAACTCCGTGTTCGATTCCCTACATTCGTACAATGTGTGAAGCCCCATGACATTTCTGGGATATTGATAAAAGAAGCGTAAAACCAAACACACTCACTCACTCACTCATTGCTTGTGAACAGTTATTATTCTGTAGTATGGGTTGCGTAACGTCACATAGACTCCCATGGATACAGATAGGCTACATTACTCGTAGAACGTATCTTTAACACTTATTACTTGTATGGGAAGAGAATATGGGAAATATTAAAACCCTAAATGCTCTTTGTTGAAATTGTTCTCTTAAAAGAATAAGGCAGCAATCGTACGGTCCAACCTAAGAGAGATTCTTACATTCAGCCATTTTGAAGTCTCCAAACACCTGTCGTTAAACTGCACCAATTATCAAGTCAAAACACTGGCTAAATGATTTAAACACTTTCATTTTATCTTGAAACGCACTTATTCCAGGTGTTTTTAAGATGATAGAAAATCACCAATAAACAATCGACTTTATGTCAGTTACCACACATTTGTTTGTGTGTACACTGAGTCGCAACAGACAAATTACCAAACAATATACAAATACATTGACAAATAGAGTCCAAGACGATTTTCCAAATGTAGCGTTTGTAATGAGGAAATATGAACACAGACAGTAGTGATACAGAGTTGTAATGGTGGAGAAGATAGAGGGCCCAAGATGACAACAAGGGCATAGGGGTATATTGTCAGACTGCAGTCACTGTAAACACGCTGTGGTTTGGAGTAATGCCACTATGAACTGGATGGAATTGAAATAATCAGTCAAATTTGCGTATGTAATGACACGCCAGAATACGTCGTCTTGCAGAGTTGGCTAGACGACAGATTACGCCATTCGGTATACGGCTCTACTCTAACCTGAACGCCTGCACGATGCCACGTCTATTTGCTGGAGGGTTTGATGTTCAATTGACGAGATGGCAATAGAGCAAGCTGGCCAATGCAAGACGTTGGTGGACGATACGTGTTTCGTGTGGTCTTACGTTGGATTCAGATTTTCAGATGCATTCATGTCTGACCGATTTCTACGATTGGGATTACATGATTTGGTAACATTGTATCGTGTTCGAATCCAAATTCTAAACATATGAATTTGGAATAACACAAGAACGTAAAATATGAACAAATTCAATATTATCTCCAAGCTTAAGAAGCAATACACATTTCTGCAATACACATATTAACACTGGTTATTACCTAGGCTGTGAATTAACTACGTCGCTCCCTCCTATCTACTTTTTCATTTGAAGTCAATACACCCACTAACTCAGGAAACGAATATTCCTAGATTCGTCTATGTCATATGTAAAATAATTATTAATTTACAGGTCCGATCATAAGTCTTTACAGGAAACTCGGTCCAAGAATGGACTGGCAAGAGCATGTTGCTTATATGAGCTTTTCACGACGACCTGGAGTTATCACTTATTTTCAGTGATTCATTCATACTATCTGCACTACCATGCATATAATTTGCTCCACTAGTTTGCCTTTTATGCATTTATAATCAAAAAGTATACTACGATTTAAACTATGGCGAAAATAAGAACTACTTTGATTGATGTTTCCTGCCGGGTCACAAGTATTTACGCTACTTCGACCACACTTTTTCAGGTTACATCCACTGAAAATGTTAATGTAAATAACTCCAATCTACTAATTATATACTGGACCGAAAACGAAATGTCCGATTTTAAAATAACTCAACTATATTTCTTATATTTGTCTGCAATAACTTAGTTGATAGATAAGGCAAGCGCGTTCAGTGTTAACTGAACATTATAAAACGTTTAAATCCTAAAATTATGCAAAACGCACGTGCATCGCACAAGAAACATGTCGTATACGTGAATGTTAGGGTGACTGGTTGTCATTGACGGCAATTGTTGGAATATACGAGATAACACCGTAAACACATTCTTTTTCCCACGATTGCCTTTAAAACAAATGCCAAGAATCCCCAATAATGTGACAGAGCCATCGGAATGTTGCACGCAGGCATGTGTACTGCAGACGTTGCATTACAAGTTGGTGAGTATGTGAGGTCAGTGCAACGTCTGAGGGAGCGTTACAATGCAACTGGAGTAACCAATGATCGTCCGAGAAATGGACGTCCACCTGTAACAACACCAGCTCAAGACCGCTATATTGTGACGATACATTTACGCAATCGTTTTCTCCCAGCAACTGTTACTGCGCAGATCACTCAAGGAACTCATAACAACAGAATCAGTGCTCAAACTGTTCGCAATCGACTGCGATAATATGGCCTGAGAGCCGGGAGGCCATACGTTGGGCAAGTTCTTACATCAACGTCATCGACGTCAACGTTGAGAGAGGGCTCGTACACGTCTGCGTTGGACTCGACGTGAATGGCAGGTACTCCTCTGTAGTGACGAATCCTGCTTTGCACTCTCCAGAGGTGACGGTCGACATCGAGTGTACAGACGGAGGAATGAGCGTTATGCTGACGCTGGTGTTCTTGAGAGAGATCGTTTTGGAGGAGCTGGATCTGTAATGGTTTGGGCTGGAATTGCACACAGTCATCGCACAGCTCTTGTTCCTATTCGTAGAAGCGATGCGCTACAGCGACGAGCTTCTTGCTCAGCATGTTGTCCCTTACCTCATCATCCAAAGCCAACATGACGTTTCAGCAGACTTCCTGCAGTCTAACCAGACGTCAGAACTTGAAACTGCCTTGCTTGCAGAATGGAATAACATTCCACAAAAAGAAATCCAGACGTTGGTGACGTCAATGTGACGTCAGTGTGACGCCGATGCAGAGCTCTGATTGATGCAGACGGTGGCTAAATACGGTTTTGATCATTTGACTTTCAGTTGTGATACCACTTCCACAGTAACGTCATCCACATTGTTCTACGGATGTTTCAGTCACTGATTTCTGTTGTTATCTACTCACAAGGCAGTGTCTGTCATGGAGTATAATATCACAGCTGACATCATTTTGACAATATACAGTTTTGAATAATAAAAGTCCGTTCAGTATATATATGTTTGCATAATTATTTTAATAAACATGTATCTGTTAATGCAATTTCCTATAAATACTAACAATTAAAAACAGATTCATAGTGATAAAGATGTCTTTATCCCTTGCGATTGGGAAATCAACAAAGTCCAGCAAATAAAAGCGACACAACCCTCTTCATTTTACATATGAAATATCTGCCAAGAACAGTCGATTGTACGATTCCGGCTATATCGCGAGCATGTGTTCATAAATCACTATCAAATAGTAATGATACCAGGTGTTCGCAAAAAGGTGAGGGCATCGTGGCCTACCGGTGGCACCGTCACAAACACATGCAAAAGCAAGTAAATTTTTCACCTAAAAAAACACGGGACAAGTCAAAATAGGGAATTGCCTCGGATTGCCTGATTTTTGTCACTGATGCGTCATATTTCGATATGTCCTCTACATGTCTACCATAAAACTTTTTTGAAAGCTTTACCGAGGCTTGAATATTGTCACCTTTATAAAACAACTACTGAGCAAGAGTCGTATTACGCTCTTTGAAATCTTGGTTAAAAGCGCATGCTCGACTTTACGTCAAAAGTTGCGATATGTAGACACCAAGGACTGAAACTGCAGGAATATTGCTTGACATAAAGGGAACGAAATACGATTACTTGCCTCTTTGACAAGTGTCGTTCCTCCCATCCCTCCACTGTAGGTCACAGGCCCCAGGACATTCTCCTGTGGTGGAGTTACACTCGGCCACTCCTTCACAGTGACAGGAATAGCTACAGGAGTCTCCGAACTGTCCTGGAGGGCAGGTACCTGGTGTGAAAATAAACGTATCAACCAATAATCATAGATATTGTATTCCTACAGATTTTCCAAATTTACTTTAGTGTATGCAAATATGTCTTTATCTTCGGTTATTTTAAAAAAGACATCGAAATATATCAAAAAGAATGTATTACCTTCGTGTTTCCGTATGGTAAATATCAAATCCGAGGAATATGAAGTTTGTATTATGCCCGCCACAGACTCACAGGAGGAACTACTTTCAATATATCTATACAACTCTAACTTGGTCAAAAGGCTTTACATAATTTCCACAAAAGTAAATTTAGGTGTGAGCTGATGTAAACCAACATTACTGCATGTCATTTGATACTGTATCATAAATGAAGCGGTTCACTCAGGGATTGTAGTCCTACACAGTTTCTACATATGGTTTTATAGAATTCAAATATGTGTTAAACTTCCCTTATTTTAAGAATGGCATTCTATGATAAAGCGTGTATTACTTTCGTGTGTTTCCGTATCGTAAATATCATATTCGAGGAATATCAAATATATATCATGCCCGCTACAGACTTTGAGGATATTATTTTATTCCAAATATGTGATATTTACGATATGCATCACACGCCACTAACAGTCTCTGTTTATGGCATACACGATTGAAATTATTGATGGCAACTTGCAGTGGGGTTGCGGTTGTTGTCTGATATGTATATCGAGGTATATTGATCATCTGAGCAAACAATTACATCGTTGAACATACTCTCTCAGAACAAGACACACACAGCAAGCTACTCCCAGTAATGCACAACACAACAAACAGGAGGCCGCCATGTTGGGTTTGAAGTGAAGGCGAAACGTCAATGCAAGTGGAAGTCAACCAAACGAAACTTTCCTGGTAACTGTATTCATTATATAATCGCTAGTGTTATAATAGTGATAAACTTGTTACCACGATAAGATAAATATGCAAATGAGGCCGTCACGCAGGAACAACTTTCAAGCTCCATGCATCGATACACTGCCTTCTTTCCTCTAAACACTGTTGACTGACACTCACAGATATGCGTAGATACGGGTTCCCAATGTGTTGCTGACTGCAAGTTATTTGTCACAACATGATAAATTGGGTGCTTCACTGAAACATTGTTTTCAAACGTGGTGTCGAAAGCTTCTTCACTGAGTTTAAATTGCCCGTCATATGTTAGGAATATTAACATATACGCAGCAAAAAAAGTTCCTGTGACACCAATATTTTAGTGTGTTTTTTCAAACAAGTAAAGTTTGGTTTTCAGTATTGTAGTACATGTATGGAATCAAGTCACGAAAACGAAACTGCTACAGAAAAGTATGCATTCCATGCAAAAGTTTACTTTTATGCAAGCCCCATGCATTTCACTACCCAAGAATGGGTATAAAAACATGTGCGTTAACGGGATTCCATATGCATTGTTTAGCATCGAGCTGGCAACAACCAAAAAAATCGCAATTATTCAACATTACGAAATGCCAAGCCTGTCCGAAAATGAGCGTCTGCGAGCCATTGGCATGGTTGAAGCAGGATCGAGTCAACGTGATGTTGCAACACAATTTAACGCCCACAGAAACACCATTTGGTGTTAATGGCAACGTTAGCAACAGATGAATGCAGTCAGAGACCATCCTCGGAGTGGAAGGCCACGCGTAACGAATAAGCGACAAGACAACTGGATTCGAACAACACACCTACGAAATCGATTCTAGCCAGCAACAGTGACTGCAAGAAGCATCCCTGGCCTTCGACCAATATCTTCACAAACCGTACGTCGCCGCCTCAGATATGCAGGGATTGTCGCAAGAAGACCCGCCAGACGTCCCATTTTGACAGGAAACCACCGTCAAGCACGTCTACAGTGGTGCAGACAGCGTCTACGCTGGACGGCCATGCAGTGGGGACAAGTTCTATTCACTGACGAGTCTCGTTTTCACCTCAACCACAGCGATGGACGGATTCGTGTGTACCGACGTCGAGGTGAACGTTACGTCAATCATTGTGTCATGGAAGAAGATCGGTTCGGGGGCGGCAGCGTTATGGTATAGGGTGGGATTACAGCAAGACAGAGGACCAATTTGATAGTGGTAGAGGGAAATCTCAATAGACAGCGATGACGCAACGAGATCCTCGGACCTGTTGTTCTACCGTTTTTGTGTCGTCATGGCCCAGGCATTACCTTTCAACATGACAACGCCCGGCCTCATATTACTCGACTTGTTCAGGATTCTCTTCAACAAAACAACGTGAATGTCATCCCCTGCCCGGCTTGCTTCCCTGATCTCTCACCAATCAAGCACATGTGGGATGAGATTGATCGGCGCCTTCGACGTCAACCACGTGTTCCACAAACATTCCAGGAACTTCGAAACATGCTCCAGCAGATATGGACAGATACCCACAGGACTTTGTGCGATGCCTGGTCCATTCAATGAGACGAAGATGTGTTGCTTGGATCGCAACCAGAGGTGGACACACAATTGACATTTTGGCATGTTCATGGTTTTTTTTTATGAAATCACGCATTTTCTGAAGTCAGTATGGCAAATTAAACCATTTGAACACTTACAGGATTCTTTTATCTGTTGCAAACTGAAATTGTTTCAGATTTGGTAAAAACATAACTTTGCATTAAATCTTATTCAATGTCACAGGAACTTTTGTTGTTCAGTATATGTATTAATTTGGAAACACAATCGGCTAATAAGCTCTATGTATTTTGTATATCAAACAAAATTTAAAATGAATGAATTAATAAATATTTATGAAATTTCTGTGTAGGCTATAAACGATAAAGAGAACTAGCTTACATCACTGATAAATGGGGTTTAATTGCACATATCTCGCATCATGCATGCACGTGCGTGTGTGCGCGTGTAAGTGTGTGAGTGGGTTTGTGGGTGAGTGGTCCTTATCGCAGTGGAGAATACCGTGCTTATCTCATTGGAGAACATCTACGAAAAGAATTTCTCGCTCGATAACCTTATTTGCATATTTATCAGATCGTCATTGCAAGTTTATTGGGTTATCGCATCGATAACGCAATCAATTATCTGATAATTTATAATATCATGGAATTGCTAATCTTGAATGATATGAACGACGTTTGTGTCAAAGCTGTATCTGCTTAAAATCCTAAACATGTACATGTACAACGAGTTGTGTAAGTGTTTATCGTGTTTTAGCCTATTGTTTATTTAACGTTGACGCGTTTACAGTACAACTTGTCATCATTTAAATATTTGTGTGACGCAAGAAAACCAAAAGTTATTTTCATTGAACTATTCACACTACATGATAAGCATGTGTTTATGAATCACAATCAAACGGTAATGATGCCAAGTGTTGAGCATATCCTGCCCCACCCGTGACTCCCGTCACACAAAAAATGCAAAGGCAAGACAGTTGTTCACTTTAAAAAAACAGGAATATATGGTTCAAGTCAAACTAGTGAATTTTAAGCAGACTTTATTTTGTCACTAATGCGTCAAACTCTGAAACGTCCTTCACATGTCTACCATCATACGTTTTGAAAGCTTTACTGATGCCTTTAATGTTGTAACCCTGTTTACACAACATGTGAGCAAGCGTTTGTAAGACATCTTCAAGGACAGAGCATGCTCCCTTGTACCTAACAAGTTGAGACTCCGAAAACCTGGAGCTGCTGGAATATTGCTTGACAAAATGGGAAAGTTGATTATTTGAAAGCTGAAGTCCTCCATTTATCATACAAGAGATCTCTGCTAAAACACCTTCATCGCGCAATCAGTTAAATTAGCAGGGCTAGACGTGATAGCGAATAAGTGTTGATCTAATTCGTTTCCTGGTCGTAACATGTGATTTGCCCCCTTTCAATGTGTAACCTGTGTATAGTTCATATGAGCCACCGCGAATTGTTGTGCGTCAGCGTACTTTAAACATTTTTCTATAGCTGCTTGGATTGATGGTTTCCGTCAAAATACATTATGTAGAATAACCATACATATATTGTTCTCTATCGTGCATTAGCGCTTTATAGTTTCAAAATGAGCTTTAATTTTTTTTAAGCATACATAATTGTCATTATTTGCTTTCTTAGACAGTAAGCTAATACTGTTAAATGCAATTTCTAGCGTCACTCATTGGGGTGAAATGGGATTTAACGTTGCTTTGCTTCAAATACAGTGGTGTAAATGTTATTTTATTGAAAATAACAACATAATATTTGGTCATTTGTCTGATCACTGTTTTATTATTACATATTCATTAACAACTCCAATACCAGGAAACAAGAGACGGAGCGTCACGCCCTAAAAGAGGAGTGGTGAAAGAATTAATAATGTCAATATCGGGTGAGACCATCAGCTGCGTTTTTACAGACGAGGTAGCGGCGACCAGATGTTTGGAAACAGCCTGGGGAATGTTGTTCGAAATGTCCACCAACGAATGGACCATAACATTCCAAACATGTTCTGTGGGGTAAAGTTCTGGGAAAGCAGCCGACAATGGCAGTACAGCAATGTTATGCTGCCTCCAAACGTCTGTTACATCAGGTATAGCGTGTGGGCGGGTATTATCCTGCTGCAACGTGACGTTAGGTCCCTGCATTTGCACAAAGGGGAGAACATGACCTACTCGTCCCGGTAGCGTACGCCATTCAAATTGCTATTAAATATCTCCCATGTTGTAATGCCACCCATTACCATTACACTCCCAAACCCAAAGAAACGACGTTGAGAAGCGCAAGCGTCGCTATATCGATGTCCTGGACACATGTCCACCATTCCACAACCGTCGGAACTCTCCAAATGAAAGCTCTTTTGTGAACAGTATACTGTCCCAGGCTTGTCTGAACCTTAGACGCTGTCTGCAGCAATCTAGGCGTGCCTCACGGTGACGAAAGAGCAACATTGGCGTATCGCTGGACGTCGAAGATGGATGTTGTCCCTTAACCGTTTGCGTCCGTTTATGCCACAAATTGGTTTCAACCCAGGAATTGTCCAAGCTGTTCATGTGG